ATAACGCTGGCGACAGCCAAAATATCAAACAAAATCCAGGACTGGCAAGTGGCAAGTCAGAATCTCAGGACCACTGTAAAATCCCGTTACCTGAAGAGGACGGATGTAGCTCTCTACAATCGACTCTGCGGGAAACAGAGGGTCCTGACTCCTGGTAATAATGAAAAACTGGAAAGGTACACGGTATCTATCCAAAACAAAATAGACATTGCCTACAAGGAATCCTATCCTATGAGAATGATGCAAGCAGATGGCACAAAAAAAAACATGATGTTTTTATGAACTGGAACACCTCAGAAAGACAGCGAGGACGACCTTCAACAAGGCAAAACGCACACAACTCGAAGAGGAGTGGGGTATCTAGCAAGGCAACCTCAGAGACTTTAAAAAAGTCTACAGACAAAAGCAAACAGAAGCCTGGAGACCCTGTTGTGAGGCAGTCGAAGACTTTTCACCAGCTTCTAGGCTACAGAAGGCACTCTCAAACGACCACCATAAGGGTATCGGCCTCCTAACGAGGAAAAAATGGTGACAAAGCTGCCAACCTCCAATAGAGTGCTGAGATTTTTATGGAAACTCACTTCCCAGGTTCTGTCTTTCCTGGAACGACGAACGAATGGAAGTACCAACAACACCCTCACAATACGACTGGCAATCTGCTAGTGCAGTAATTGATGAGAACAAGATAAGATGGGTCATATCGGGCATTTCCCTCTTTAAGTTTCCAGGATCTGACGATATAAGATCAGCCCTACTTCAATGGCGATTGGGTATTCTTATGCCGCACCTGATTGAAATATTCAGAGCCTCTCTAGCTCTGAAGAATATTCCTAGTAAGTGGAGAGAAGAATGAGTAGTATTCATACCCAAACCAGGTAGGATGGACTACAGATTACAAAAAGCATTCCGACCAATTAGTCTTACATAGTTCATTTTAAAAACTAGAGAGAGGCTATGTGCGGGTACATAAGGGAAGAAGTACTTGTTCACAACCCACTTCATCCATATCAGCATGCATTTACTCCGGGAAGGTCTACTGATTCGGCCCTTCACCATATCGTTGGCAGAATCGAAAGATCATTGGCCATGGAATTAATTACTGATCTGACCCCTCTAGACCTGTACGTTATGGAGGTTGTGTTGATGGCCATGTTACGATTGCTCACGATTGGTGTAAACCTCGAAGTAGAAATGGGTCAATTGAGGCTGAGCCTGTGGCGAGAAGCACTCACTGCGCAACCACTGCTGCAGGCAAGCACTGATGCAATTGAACCCAGGTTTGTATTCAATAAACCCTACAATATACAAATAAAACAGAACACAGAATTCGATGCCATAAATGCAATACGCATATATACAGACGGTGGGATTTCTGACTGGCCACTGTCAACTAAGGAAACACCTCCATAATATGGAGCTGGTGGACACACCTCTATGCAGGATGTGTGAACAGGAAGATGAAACTGTCAGGAATGTACTATGCGAGTGTCCGGAGTTATCGTCAATACGAGAATGTGTGTTTGGCAAGTCTTGGCCTACACCTGCCGAAATGAAGGAGATGTCTCCCAGTGACCTGTCCACCTTCCTAACCTTCCTGGAAAGGACAGGATGGATGATGACCTAGGAGGACAACTCCTCGGGAGGATGTACAATGGGTCACATGTGGCCTAAGTTCTGTGGGCCTACACTCATTCTCCCCACTCTACAGATACAGAACAATAACCGATAGACATAGAATAATATCAATGAAAGTTGTCGACTAATCGTAATATATACAAGGTGTTCCATTTGAAAAATCTAAGTTGCTACTACTTTCTAATGAGAGTGGCAATACCACATTGTCGAAAATATTTCCACTTCAGTAGATAATGTATGTACGAATATACTCTCCATTTGAGTTTTTGAAGTGATGTGGTGTGTAGTTCACCAGAAAAGTGTAATGTGCCGTTCACCCTAATTTTTATAAATTATAATTCATTAATACATTTAGTCAATAACTGATTATCAACTATCCCCCTCCTACGAACGACAACCAAATCGAAACTTGTGCGAGCTGAGGTTTAGCGAGGTCTTACATCTTACCATGTGATTGTTAGCGTTGTGTAACTTCGAACGATGATTCCTCTGAATAGGATGAAAAGGTGTATTGTAATACTAATTCATCCTCCATTTTAGATACTATGTACATGTGTATTATAGGTTACTATTATTCTAATATTATTTCAATTGTGTGGATACTGTAGTTGATTTTTCTATTTGTATCTCGAATATATAAATAAATATCTTGTAAGCAACCAAATAGAACTTGGTTTAGACTTCCCAATGTTGGTTAGCATTATATTCTCAGATTGAAGGTTTTTTCGGAGTAAAATTCAAATGAGCAGAAAAGTTCTTATCTGTTAGTTTTGGTGCACATTCACACTGATCTAGATAACTGCTAACGGAATTACCTGAAATTTTTATAAACACGCATTTATTTCTATAATAAGACTCATTCGTCTCATTATAAATACTCAAAATGAACAAAAAACATATTTCGTTGTCATTATATACGCATGACTTTTTGTTACAGTGGTCTAGACACAATTTTCTTCAAACTGGAATGAAATATTGATACATTTACTCACACTCGAACTTCCGTAGAGAATATCTGGCACAAGGTATCCACAGCAGATGCCAAATAACTTTTATAGCCGTCCAAGTGTATTGAATTCGAATGTTTTCAATGCATTCTCGACTACTTTTGAGCAAAACAACAGAAAGTACGGGAAATGTCGACTGTTTGCGGTTGAGCGCTGAAAAATATTGTTTTACTGGAGACATGTTGGATTTTATAGACATAATGAAATTCAATATGTTTTCGAATCATATTATTGAATCATCTTATTCTAGTTCACTTTGTTCAATGACCGAACATGACATTCTTTTTAAGGGTGATATAATGAATTTGAACACTGTTACATTCAACGTATGGGTCCAAAACATATTTCCCACACCAAATTTTAGATATAAATTAAGAATATTTCAATTTAGAGCAAATGTATGAGATATCTTCACTCTGAAATGATAAAAGTTCATTTGACTAGTGGTTGAGTCCATTTGAATCCTCTCACAAGTATTATTTGGATATTTATTCCCTGTTCCATTATATTATGAAGGGCAAGTGGTTCAGAAAGACTGGACCCAATCCCAATGATGACTATGACTAAATAGCTCAACCAACAATCTTTAAAAAAAATCCTGAAATATTCATGAAAATAATCAACAATATTTTGTAGAATATTATTTCAAATGAGAAATTCACCTCCAAACTTCATAACACAAATAGTTAGGGGTATGTCGTACCCTGACTGACTTCTAAGATGTCTCGCTGACAACTGAGACGTTGAAGAGAGATGAAAGTGTATAGTACCTGGAAGAATATGTTTTAACTACAGCTATTAAGCACTATAGGTCGGTAAGTCAATTCGTTTTGATTTGAGAGCTGTGACTTGCAGTTCTGGGTATGTTATACCCCTGAACACTAACGAAGGGTTAAAAGGAAAACGTCTGTTGGAGTTTTATTGTGATGATTGTCTCACAGGGGTTAGATTAGTACCCAATTCAATCAAGAAGATTGATGAGTTGTTGAGGAAATCATAATGAAGAAAAGAGAAATGAAACTTCCTATGTTTTTCACCACTTTTATTTGTAACTAACTTTACAGAAATCAAGAAATGGGTAACGCTAACATATTTTGGAAAAAGAACATAGATAATTGCGGGTTTCTTCAGAAAAAACAATGTGGAAGTGACATTCAGACCACATGCCAGCTCATCTTGCTTCCTTTTCAATGCCAAAGATAAGGTCGACATGTGGGACAATATGGCCGAAATTTCTAAAACCCGTATGCTGAACATGAAAGGTCCTTCAGACTGGGAGAAAATAATTCGACGTTTTCGAACCATTCCTTGGCATGCAACCACAAGTTTCCGAATCTATATGATACGGGAATTCTGCACTATGCCAGGAAGGGTTGCAAATTCAATTATTCAGAATCCATGAGAATCCACAAGCATAAACATTGCGGGTGCAACCTGTTAAATGATGAAATTGGCACATCTGCATTATGGACTGTAAATTCAGGTACTCAATCAAGTCAAGTACCTCTATTTGTATTAGTACTTATAGGGGTAGTATATAATGGCGAATGTAATGAATCATTGTTAGTTTATTGTATAAGTTTGAAAATGTCCGTATAGGACGAAACTGCAGTAGCGTTAGTTACAAATGAAAGTGGTAAAAAACATAGAAAGTTTCATTTCTATTTTCTTCATTATGATTTCCTACCACGTAGTAACGGCTACATCCATCTATTTATAAATTCCCCCCAATATTCCAAAAAATTTCTGCCTGAAGTTATATACCGCAGCTGTTATTCTTCTCTTCAGATCTTTCACATATTCAGGCTGTGTTTGAGGAACGGCCAATTTCAGATGCCAACATATGAGAAATACAAAGACGATAAATCGGGTGATGTGAACAGTTTGAAAGGTTGAAATTAATTTTTTTACAAAACTACGGAGCAGAATCAAAAGATTGAAGAAGTCTTCAATACTATAAATTCATCGAAACCTCATGCTAATTTAAAATTTGGGGGGTGAATTTTGTGCAGTCAGAAATACCACAAAAATGTCTTGCACCAGTCGAGTGGAATTTTTGAACTTTGCTGCTGTAAAAAATGTTGAGTACTATTTCATACTCATTCCATGACCACGTTGTGTTTTAATGAAATACTATTTATCGGTTCAGATCTTTATAATGTTGTATTCAGTCAAATAATAAATCATGCGACTAATTAAACAACTACAAAGTATTATCATAACTCAACATCTTGAGTGAAAGTATGAACAACGAATCTAATATGAATGAAACCGTTACTTTGAAATTCCAAGTGGAAGGGAGCAAAGTCTAGTTATTTTTCTAATTATTCCAGATCACCCAATAAACTGCGGGGAAATTCAATTGTTTGTCACGGCTCGATAGGATAAAATTGCATAGTGCATTGAAGATAGGTTCATTAGTTTTGTATTTCTCAAACAAGAAATACTTGATTGTTTCATGTATTTGTGTATTTTGTGAATCACGGTGCAAACGTATTCTAGAAAAAGTCGTGTTGCGGAAATATTAGTGTAAATCATTTCTAGTTCAGCTAGTTTTCATCAACCATTCTAGGTATGAGTGGCTTCTTCAATTTAATATTATCGCACTTTGTAAAAATATTTTCATCGTCAACTGATTGATTTTTTCAATGTTAGGAACCCTCATTGATTTTTATCTATCTCCAACATTTCATCAGGATTAAAAAGTAATTCATTGGAAAAAACAGTCAACTTCGATATTAGGTTTGAATATTATATGTTCAATCAATCGGAAAATGTATGGTTACAGTGCATGGGTTTCATTTTACACATCAAAAATGGTTAAGTTATTGACTTATCAATGACACGATTAACACACACGTTCTGTTTTAGAAGTAATCAACAATCATATATTTTTTGAATTACCGTTATCAGAGAATGTTGGTTACTGCCGCTCAGAAAATGATTATTTCTGGAACCTAAATATCTCTACCTATTGAAAGCTATAGTATCAGCGAAAAACATGGGCTGTGTTCTATTTCAGAAAAATTCGAAAAGTTAATGTGATGATACATAAAATAATATTTGTGGAAATAAGGTTTTGGCTTTCTAATTCCAAAAAGAGAGAGAAAGCAACGAATTTCAGAGAAAGTAGCTCTTTATAAAGTTGTGTAGATCATTCAAAGAAGTAACTTTCAGACACAAACTGAAAGAAAAAGACCATTTGTGACAGCTACTTTCATATAAACATTGGATTGCAGGAGATAGAAATATTTCCGATACAAATACTTTCATATGAACAATGAATTACCCATGCATCAATGGATAAATAATGGAAGAATTAATTATTTCATTTATTACCTCCTGAATATTTGGATTTGTTCAATAATTTGTTTTCAAATATATGACCAAGAAAGTATTGAAGAGAAAGTTTGATGGAGATAGAGATTAAATAGTGAGGTGTAGTTCATGAAAAAACAAACTGAACTTCAGCAACTTTCAAAACTCATCAAAATCCTAAAAAGTGAAGTGAATCCAGAAGAAGTAAAATAATCACTTCATCTCCTGAAGATGTCAACTTGTTTGGTGAATTATACGTTGAAAAGACTGTTGCAGTTCTGGTGTGTGAAAATAGAACTTGTTTGGAGTTTACTCTATACAATTGGTTCCAGTTCTACGTTCCACTGAGGTGAATCCGAATTATATAAGACATCATCCGAAATATGAACATACCGTGAAGCTTGCAAATCCAATAGTGGCGAATACAAATGGATATACAATAAATGTATACAATCGAAACATATTATGGAGACTTTCGCTGAAAATAAAACAAGTTTTGAGGAAGGTTTGGCGAAAATTATCAGTACCATTATAAACTTTATCTCTCAATGATCCTCTCTGTCAAAATGAGAACACCAAAGTTGAAGTGATAACAAAGAAACAAAATTGTACATATGTATTTTTCTAACCCCACCTTTTTCCTTCCATTCCAAGTCTTGCATTCTGGAGCATAAGATGTTTTTACTCAGTTACCAACTAATTACTTCATATTCTGATGAGTTAAAGATGATTCAATCGAATTGAAATTATTCTATTCCATCAAAATATGCAAACATGATATCAAAGTTCTTTTTTTTCCAGTTCCGAACTGTTTGTAGGACCGACCATTTTGTGTTTCATAACATCAATATGTTGCCACCTCTATTCCAAATGGATGATTATGAAACGTGCATACAGAATGAAAACTTGTACTGCAAACTCAAAGTGAATCTTCAAGGCTCCAACAACAATAGTGAAGTATGGAAATATATAGAAGTGAGTGATTATTTTATGTTCATCTTTTGAGGAAATTGAACTATTCAGTATTGAATATGGAGGTAATATTCTCAAAAAATATGATAATAATAATAATGATAATGACAATAATGACCGGTAAACTTGGTTTATTTTTCTACACTGAACGAGGGGATCAGAACTCTGTCACGGCACAACCGCAGAGATCGCTTCACTCCTGCGTCAACACAACGACAAGCCAATGCATAGGGTCTCTTTCAACAATATTGAAGCCCTCGGCTCATCAAAGAGCCTGACCTCAGGTCGAGTGAGCTGAAGTTAAAACCTGAGGGGTTCATCATGGCCTGCCAGGATTGAGTCTTCAACGCCATAATCTACCAGGGACGTGTAATGGATAGAGAGGTTCCTGACACACGGTGCAGGTAGTTCTTCGCGATCACCAGGGCAAAAGGAGTTCTCAGCTCTTGACAAGACGAATATTGTCTGGAAAGGAAAGAAAAAACGGATAAAGTATCGAGATTTTTTCTTCCAACCTTACAAACTATATTCAGACAACTCTGTCGGAGTGATTGTTCTAATTATTTAAGTGGTATGATGCCACTCTACTCTCGAATCCCAAGGTCACGACGGCTTGCCGCTCTAAGGCAGAAATCTCAGCCAGACAAATGCAGAAGGCTGTCATTCTTGGCTTACTACGCTTGCTTAGGTCACATGATTTTTGGACCCAATAATCACTTATCTCACGATGAGGGGCGTGGTCATTGGTTAATAGTGCTGGCGCGCCCTCCCGAATGTATCGTGACGTCGGAGAATATGGCCCAATCAGCTCAACCTTTGATAAAAAAATAATGAAACCCTAATATACAGCAGTCGTGTGGAAGGAATGATGGTTCCTGACATAACGTTCAGAGCCTGTCGCTAGGCGTCTGAAACCCTAATGTACTCACCGTCAGCATCTCCAATATGAGGACTCAGCTTATATCCATCGGCAAACATCGACAAACTACCAAATAGCATTGTCTTTATAGGATACGAATACTTGTGGCTGCTGAAAAGTCACTAGTGAGAAGATTGAAAAGTATTTCAGAATATATCAAATGAGCGATAATGAGTCATTATCGTTCATTTCAGCAGCTCATTTGAAGTTTTGTAGATACATTGCCAATCGCTGATCGGCCTACTAGAAGGGCATTCGTGAGCATTCACAATCATATTACAGTCCTAGCGCAGTTCGAATCTTTCTATAGAGAGCTTCAACAGCCGGGACAGAATGTGATTCGCACCTCTTCCCACCAGAATTTCCGAACCTTGGCTTCGCTGTGAGGTTGAACCCATAAGCGATGATAAGCGGTGGAGCCATATAACTCTACCGCAGAAGACAAGATATATTGTCCCTAAGGTTTGGCGTGGAAAAGTCGGCATGCTACTGTAGCCATAAGAACGGACACAAAGCATGCAATTTTGCCATGTATTCTCTCCACATGAGTTCACTACTCTCCTAGGCTATCTCTCAATAAATGCGTCTATTCAAGTTTACCGTTGTGATTGTCAAGTTTATCACCGATGTGCAAATCATCGTTATGAACACCATCATCTTGTCTCTGATCCCAGTGAGCAGCTCGATTGCAGGGACCTTCTCTTCGCAATCCTGGATCCCCATTTCGGGTCTACCGGTTAGCCCTTGAGACCTACAGCCGGCACCAGCGAGGGGGAAAGTTATCTTCCTTCCGAATGCGTCTGGGCTACCGGTTCGGTTTTGCACCAATGTTGTTATTTTTATTGTTATCATTATCATCATCATCCGTCATCATGCTTTTTCCTGGAGTTGAACTTGTCGGACCCTGTTCCAGATACTTTCTGGAGGTCGCGTCAGTATCATCAATCACTGACCACTCCTCACATCGTGTGGTAAGTGATCATTGTTTCCTTGCCCACTTGAAGGTAGAAACTCTTCGACAAATATCTTGCTCTGATGTTTGAAAATTACATCAAGCTCATTGACTGATTCTATTGACACCACTTCCCCATCACCAGAATAAAATAACGGTTCCGCGACAAGCGTTTCGCTAATGAAGTTAGCGTCCTCAGGAGATCATTATATTCTTAGTTGTAATGATCTCTTGAGGACGCTTGCTAAGTTAGCGAGATCGTTGTTTCGTTCTGGTGTTAGAGAAGTGTTTTCAATAGATTCATCCAGCCGAAATTTCGACAAAGTGGTCTGGATGCGAAATTTGAAGAGGAAATCTTGATATTTCACATGCTTTTCCTCTTACTTCTGAATGATAATAATCTCACCGATACACGTCAATTCTGTGAAAGTACTTACTGTAGATGGTAGTGAAGCATTATAGTGCATCGTTATTTCGATGGATAAAAGCTGAAACCGCGTATACTGGAATGCTGACAGCAACTGTGTTATGGTATCAGGCGTCTCGCGGCAGGCCTTGTACCTGTACTAGATAGAGTTTGCGGAGTTCGAAGAGAGAATTTCTATATTTCATTCGTTTTTGTATCTCTTTTCGAGCAATATTCGTCACCTGGAGCTAAAAACTCCACTACGAGTTTTGCTCTGGTGGTTAAGAACAACTCATCAGGCTCATCAGCTGAGAATAGGGATGGATAGTGAGAATAGATTGAGCACTTCTCATTTCCCTCAGCAAATTCTTTTTCTCTCGAAGTATAAAGCAACACCGATATTTTGTCAATACAATAAAAGTGGCAATACGGGATAATACCACATATTCTGGGCATGTCGACTTTAAGTGCATAAGGGTCTCAGCGGTCATTCGATCAGAAAATCATGTACCGTGAGCAGAAGTAATGAACCAAGAATGACAGCCTCCTGTATTTTTCCGGCTGAGGTTTCTGCAATTTTGAGTCATTTCGATATTATCTTAGGATCAGAAAGTAATTCCACTTAGGAGTGGTCCATTCCACAGAGTGGTCTGGGTATAGTCTGCAGAGTTTGCTGTGTTAACCTCGATACATTTCTTTTCCCATTTTCGGTTGATATTTATTTCACAGGTAGAGAAAAACTTCATGATAAACATCGTCTTATTTTGATGATCGGAAAAAATCACATCAGGTTTATTGGCTTGTATCTGCCTGAATGTGGGGAGTGAGTAGTAGAAGTTGACACCGATTGTTCGCCAGACACCGCAAGAGTTTAATGTTATGAAGTACTCTTGGGGCCGCGTTACGCCGGTGAATTATGATAATAATAAATGACCGCGACCGACTGGATTTGCCAACAATAAATTCATCAGGAAGGCTAATCATCTTGTGAAAGCCGAAGGGTGGGAAATGCATAGTTCCAATGAATTTGCAAAATCTAATTTTTTCTAACCATAGGGCAACACTGGTATCTCGTCAATGCCGTAAAAGTGCTGTAGGTGGTAATAAAGCTCTTTTAGGGCCGCGTTATGTCGATGGATATAGGTTGAGCTGCATGAGCTGAAAATGCTGACAGCAAGTGCATTAGAGACTTGCGCCTCGTGAGATCTGATGTCAGTAACCTCTATACCCATCACGCAACTGCAAGAAGGGTATAAAGGGTATATTATCATCATTATTATTGTCATTATTATCTTCACTATCACATATTATAATTATCATGTTCATCATTATCATTTTCATTATTCAATTGTTCGACATGACACAAGAGAGAAAAATTCAAATTTTGAACGAATGTGAAAGTTGAGAACTGGGACGTGAGTTTCCAATCGATTGTGAGGCTTTTCAATACAATATACTAATAATTGAATTCATTTCAGGATTCTATACAAGACGTATACAAATTTCGTCGGGATATCCTTTGGAGAAACCTCTGTATTCCAAAATATACAGCATATAATAATCAGTCAATCAAGGAATATTCATATGCTCTGATTAACAAGGAAATTAGACATTTGAACTTGACTTCATCAGCAGACGTTATGATTTGTACCAATGGAATTATCACTAGGTCGTATTTTGATTACTATATACTGTAAGTTTCAATAGTTTACCGTTCCTGTATATCCCTACTTTTGAAATTCCAGATATTGGGTATTTCTTGATAACAAGCCGATGTTTCTTTGAAGATTGTTGATAACCCTTATGAGTTGGTTTGTGATAAACATAACTTTACCACCCGTTATCGATGCTCTTCATCTGAAAATTGCAATCCATTGTGGACTTTCTGACCAACTGTGAATTTTATGGAAGATATTCAATTGCGGGTCTCCATAGTTTCATAATGAAAAGATATAGTCCACTTATATCAGTCGGACTCGAGGATAATTATAGACTCCTTCAGTATATTTTCCAATAATTTATCAGTCCTCCTCACCATTACATGTGAAAACGGGAATTCATCGTGGATTTCATTCTGCAATAATAATATGATGAAAAGTCTCATGTTGTTGAGGTGCTGCAAGAAGGTTTCCAGTTTCGTGTCTTCATAGTTCAATACTATAATTTTCAACGTATCTCAACCAAACTCGAATTAATTGTGGGTTTTTCAATAGCTAGTATTCCTGACTAGTCCATGTATATGTTGACTGGAATCGGTGAAAGTATCGAAAATATCGACAGTGTTGTGTCTTGCGTGAAGAATTCATTCCACAGTTGAAAATAGTACTCTCCAATACAGCACATTGATAATTCCATGAAATTGGTTCATACAGAGGAAGCTCTGTATGATTTGGAACGTTTCTTCGACAGGAATGTTGCTGCACTTTTTTTCTACGTCGAAGTTCATCTATTCATCTCATTCTGCAACTTCCGTTGCACCTAGAAACCTAACAAACTGGGAATCTGAAACAGTTGTGAGTGGCTAATTCTGTGGAAATATGATTGGTCTGAGCGGAATATACTTCTCAGGTTCTTACTGTTGTTGTTATGTTTTTGACATTCATCTTGATTATTCCATTTCATTTTTATTCCAGTTTTATTGAATTGATTGATGTAGCCGTTGCTACGTGGTAGGAGATAATCATGTAGAGTGAAAAATGCAACTTTCTATGTTTTTACCACTTTTATTTGTAACTATCGTTACTGCAGTTCCGTATTATATAGACTTTTTGAAACTAATACAATACAATTGAAAATAAATAATAATGATAGCTCTTACAGACAGTGGTGTTCAGTCATATTAGGGGTATCATTATTATTTATTATCAGTTTTATTGTATTAGTTTGAAAATGTCCAGATAGGACGAAACTGCAGAAACGATAGTTACAAATAAAAGTGGTGAAAAACATAGAAAGTTTCATTTCTCATTTTCCACTCAATTTTATTGTTTGTATTTGATTGTAAGGCATAGAACGATCGATTTTCACTTGCTATTGTCCAACCCGTGTTATGAATCACACGTTAAAAGGTAAGACATCGTTAATCTTTAGCTTGCACAAGTTTCGATTTTTTAAGGTTCTCGTTCGTAGAGGTGCGACAGCTAGTTAACGGAAAAACAGATTTTAAACAGATTTTTATAAACAGAAACTTCAGATCACGACTAACCCAGTCAATAGCTTTGACACAGTTATCTCCTTCACCGAAAGTTCGCATCCATTTCACGTATTGGTTAATTCATTTATCAATTCATTTTCAGTCAAGATCAAAATAATTTGTTTCTATACAAATCAGCAATTTCACAATATTTTATGGATTTTTATTTTCTCCACTTTTATTTTCATTTCAACTGTAATATAATGATATAATGATAATTTCAAATATATTCATTTGTGAATCTTCGTACGCATTCCCTATGCATCAGAAGGCATTTCAAAGTTGAAATTATTCCCGTGATTCTCATTCTATTATAAGCAAATCTGGTTTCGTAACTTTTTGCGTTAGGCATTTTTTATTTGGGTGAATGATTTTTAAACGGTTGAATGAAAATCAGAGTGAAGTGTATCGTAATGTTTCATTAAAAATCATAACGCATTGAAATATTTGAATATTTTAAATTTGCTTCGAAAATTCCATCACTAGAGCAATTAAGTGAATCGACATAACATGAATGTCGTTAATTACATCCATTCAACTTCTCATGAATAAAAAAATGTCAAGTAAACAAAGGTAAGTTTCATACTGTTTATTTCAGTGTTGCCAACTTATCATCAATACACATTAGTGTCAATACACATTAGCAACTCCTCCACATGGTTGAACCCCCTAGGAGGGCCAGATGTCTTAGAATTTCAAATAGAAAGGGGGGATAAGTGGCACATCATTTTGATTAGTATTCAATTATGCTTCCAATGGTACCCTGACTCATTATTCTTTGATGAGTATTTTTCGATGAGTATTTTTCGAACAGAAGTAATTATCAGTAGCTCTATACTGAAATGCATAGTTTGACCAGAACTGGTAGGAACATATCGTGGTACCGTTCCAACTCTTTATTAGGGGTATCATTAGCCATTAGCTTCAACTGATTTACATCCAAAAGTGGTCTAATAGTAAAACGTAGATGGCAGTAAATTTGTGTTCAAGTAAATGCTGAATTCTTAATTTTCATCGCAGAAAGTGTACACATAGCCGCCCTTTTTTGCTACTCCTGCTATGAAAAGTTTCTGTTTTGAGGCAAAAAATTTATTCACAAATTTTTAACGATGTGGTAGTATCGTAATCGCTAAACAGCCCTGTTGGGATATTTGGCGATAACTTCAATAAGTGCATGAAAGTGTAAAAATGGTTTACATTCTTCAAAACAGAATTGAAATGATTGTAATTCATGGAGAAGTTGAAAAGTGCACACGAAGGGCGGCAAGTTTTTTTTAACGAAAGACATCCAAATTATAATGTAAGTCACCGGTATGTGCTGGATTTGGTAAATAAGTTTTACGAAACTAGTTCAGTGACACATAAAAAAAGAAATAACACCAGAGTACCGAATGAAGCAGCTAAAATTCAAGTTTTGGTAATATTTGCTGCAGAGCCCAAGATCTCCCTACAATCACTATCAGAACAGACGGGAATGTCACGCGAGACTGTAAGAAAAGCATTGAAAATTCATACATTTCATCGTTATAGAATGCAGATTCTTCAAAAGCCCCACGAGGATGGTTATGCTATAAAATCCCCAATCTTCTGTTGAATATTAATTATAGCGATGAGTAATTTTTTTTATGAATGGCAATGATAGAACATAAAATTGTCGATATTGGAGAGACGTAAAAATATATTTTTTTCTGTAAGAAAACTTGACTAGCAATCTGTACCTTAAGATGATTGAAGAGACTAGATCCTTTTATAACTCACCAGCTAGAAACTCGAATGGATGCAGAAGATGATGAACGTTTGCAGAAGGATCTGTCACATTTCCAGCAAAACGGTGCTCCATCTCATTATTTTTTTTCCGTCCGACAGTGGTTAAACGAAAGATTTTCGAATAGACGGATCCACCACCCTTAGGTTTTTTCTTTGGGGGCATTTTGAATCCGTTGTTTATAAAACACAATCTTATATTGAAGAAATCAAAAAACGAATTACAGCAAAAAAATATAACGTGTTTGCCGGTTATATTTTTATAATTCTGTCGAAAGTATATATCTAAGGCACACTGAACACTGAATGTCTGTCATACGAGAGAGAAGGAGTCTGCCGTCCGCGTGAGAGGGAAGCCAGACAAATTGGCAAAGTTACGCGTTAGGTAACGAGGTGTTTCACCTTCCCATAAGAAGTTATCACTTGAAAAATAAAACGTTTCTGACAAAGTTATCGAAATGTAAGTTCAAGGCAAGGTCAAGTAGGCATCTATGATATATAAGTTATTGCAAAATGGAAACAGGTGCTTGAGATTTCAGGAAAATACATATTTCAAATTCAAAATTCATGGATGAGTTTTCATCGATTTTAATATTTGTTTCAGGATTGCTGTAATATTATATGGTTTCCTAGTAGCATTTTCAACGCTTCTAGATGTTCGAAGCAAAAATATTCAAGAAGGTATTTTTCATTCATTATTAAAAAAATTCTGTATATGATACTCAGATAATCGAATAATTTTGATTATAAGATGGGTATGAGAACAGATAATAAAACAATGTCCACACTAAAAACTTCACTAGAAACGCGTTTAGCTACAATATCACTCCCTTAGTCGAGCTGGTACGTACCAGTGTAGCGAAACTCGCTTTAGTCAATTTATTGGTGTGTAAATTGTTTTACTATCATGTATAGTGTTATTACTTTCCATAATAATTTCCGTCAAGTAACGCGTCAGTGCATGAATAATATGGGAATTGCTTAGGGGCTTTGGTTAACCAAGGATAACTTTGGTTACTTGCTTGTCTCGCTACGTTCGTTCATATGCCAATAAAACTCCTATATTTATTTATTGAGAAATTCTCACTTGGAATTTAACTGAATGTGCGTCACATCAAAAAGCTTTCTCAGAGGCTGTTGATGTCTCAAATCCGCTGCGTCATTATTCGCTATAAGTAAGAAGAAGTTGGATTTTCATAATCACCTCAAATCTGATATATTTTGATATTTCAAAGGGAGATTGGGTTGAATTTTTTATGATTTGATGCTATAAAGCAAAATATATTCATTCAGGTGGCAATAGTTTGCCGAATGAAGGGACGCCTTTTATCATTTTGATTTAGTTCTCTACTTACAAAACTTAGTTTTCCAACGGATTATGTGTTATTGATAATGATTTGATCAATGTATTATTTGTAATATACTAAAATAATGACACAGATATGATTCGTCAGAGCTTCGTCGGATAATATCTCAGAGATACATCAAAAATGGGGGACAGATGGTTTTCAAACCAAAGCACTTCTTGCATCTGCAGAAATGTAAAAAATAATGACATGAACATATAAATATATTATGGAAATGAAGAACGTAAAAGCATAACGTATAATCTTGATATTACAACGAAATTTTTGGTTTCATATTTTACCTAATATGAAAGATGGAGGTGTTGATAAATCCAGTGGAAAATTAGGGAACTAATCAATTGATTCTGCTATATTCTCTGCAAGAGATGGAAAAATAATAATTTTTATTTGTTATGAAATTTTTTTTCCAATTTGAAGTGAAGTAAAAAAAGAATACTCTTCAGAATCATGTTGTGTGGCTTCGTACGAAGTCTCTCGTTCATTATATTCACATGGCACTTTTATGACATTTTTTGTCATAGACACTATGGAGCTTTTACAGCTTTTGCATGCCATATTATTTGTATTATTGTACATCTAATAACTCGAAGTGAAATAGGAAGATATGTGTGAAAATTCAATACAGAGTTGTCTAGCTGATATGAATTACAACCGACAGAAATTCTCGCCTATACAGTTGCTTAGATTTTGACTCCTGTTCAGGTGTGTGAGTACAAACAAATATTAACACTCGGCAAGACGCTTTCGCCACCGATGCCGACCGTTCTGACGTCTTAAATAAATATGACAATATTGTCATATTATAAAAATATTTTTCGCCAATTATAAATCGAGTGCAAGTGGACTATTGTATCACTGTTAGATTAATCGGGATTATTGACGTCATATGAGAGATTTTATGATTGATTAGTGAAATCTATATGATGAAAAAATGAAACGAACCAATTCACTTCATTGTATGATTTTCACTATAGGGGGTTGTACAAAATCATACAATAAACTGTATTAATAAGTTTCATAATGGATANCATCTATAGTGAAAATCATACAATATTTAGTTAGTTTCAATATCCATTTTTATCTTGAACATTACTCAGTTGAAAACTGTTTATTCTTCCTTGAGTCCTTACTATCCTATGGGAATTTGGGCTGGGGCGGGGTCAATGATTGCTTCTTGAACCAAGTACAGGTTTTGCAGAAATAGGTTCTGAAAATTATGTATGGCAAAAAGCTGTCATTTTCTTCTGACACACTCTATAATGAATCTCAATGTAGAGATAAAATTTTACTTTATATCAAAGCTAAAAAAATTCAACTCACCCCTCATGAACACTTATTATTATTATTATCGAGTATCGGCCAGTTCTATTGAATTATTGGAAAAAATGATTAGGCATATTGTGATGCAGTTAACGTGAATCAATACTTCTCTTTCGATAGCCAACAATGAACTTCCACACAGCCGAGTGAATAAAAATGGAGAAACCTCTGTATTCCAAAATATACAGCATATAATAATCAGTCCATCAAGGAATATTCATATGCTCTGATTAACAAGGAAATTAGACATTTAAACTTGACTTCATCAGCAGACGTTATGATTTGTACCAATGGAATTATCACTAGGTCGTATTTTGATTACTATGTACTGTAAGTTTCAATAGTTTACCGTTCTTGTATATCCCTACTTTTGAAATTCCAGATATTGTGATGCGTTATTGTGTTTTTGACATTCATCTTGATTATTCCATTTCATTTTAATTCCAGTTTTATTGAATTGATTGATGTAGCCGTTGCTACGTGGTAGGAGATCATCATATAGAATGAAAAATGCAACTTTCTATGTTTTTACCACTTTTATTTGTAACTATCGTTACTGCAGTTCCCTATTATATAGACTTTTTGAAACAAATACAATACAATTGAAAATAAATAATAATGATAGCTCTTACAGACAGTGGTGTTCAGTCATATTAGGGGTATCATTATTATTTATTTTCAGTTTTATTGTATTAGTTTGAAAATGTCCAGATAGGACGAAACTGCAGAAACGATAGTTACAAATAAAAGTGGTAAAAAACATAGAAAGTTTCATTTCTCATTTTCCACTCAATTGTATTGTTTGTATTTGATTGTAAGGCATAGATCGATCGATTTTCACTTGCAATTGACCAACCCGTGTTATGAATCACACGTTAAAAAGTAAGACGTCGTTAATCCTTAGCTTGCACAAGTTTCGATTTCTTAAGGTTCTCGTTCGTAGAGGTGCGACAGCTAGTTAACGGAAAAACAGATTTTAAACAGATTTTTATAAACAGAAACTTCAGATCACGACTAAC